CATTATATTATATTATATTATATTATATTATATTATATTATGTTATATTATATTATATTATATTATATTATATTATATTACTACATTATATTATAAAATATTATCATATTATATTATATTAATCATATCATATCATAATATATATATATAGAAGATTTCTAAATCACCCATTTACCTCAAAAGAGGGACCTTGGGCGATGGTCCAATATAATATAACCGATAAATAAACCAACATATAAAAATTAACTTCAGAAAATAAAACTTAAATTAGGGTTAAAAATATCAACATGATAGAATAATGACGAACATCAAAAAGGAGGGGAAGATTGCTTAAATGGCCATTTAGCATCAGATTCACACCTGCATTAAGAGAAGCTTTGATTCGTGCACCTAAAGAAGAAAGCATATTTACCTGGGTAGAAAAACCCCGTTTATTAACTGTAGCTGTACCGAAAGGCCGCAGTCTCTGTTGTCATGCCGAAAGAGTCTTACCTCCAAGTAAATACCTATAAATTCCTCTGTGCAATTCTTAGCTGATTTGCTGATACTTGGTCCATGATCCTCCCTTCAGATGCCTCAGCTGCGTTCTCTAATTATGGGGGTAGTTTAGCTGTGAACGTGTTCCTGGAAGTACCAACAATTATCCACATCTCGATCTTCTACTTCTTTTATTATTCCACTGCAGTTTGGCAAGCAGCGTTGTGCTGTGAAAACAGCCATTATCCCCTGCCATCTCTGGTGGGGATTTGAGCCCTGTGGTCCTAGCAAAGGTTTGGTTCACACCTACCTATATAAACTACAGAGTTTTCTCATCCAGGGCTGGTCAGGATCAAATGGCCCCTGGCAGAACAGGTGGGCTGACTGCCCCCCGTGGGATTGGTTTAGCAGCTTCAGAAATATAAGGAGCGTGGTCCCTGGCTCTGAATCACTGCTGTAAGCTTGCACATACTTGATATGTCATATCAGAGAGAAGCAGGAGGTTAACACAACCTTAGGGAAAGTTGGCCTTGGACATTCTGTGGTTGGAAGGGCATAGCAGAAGAAAGCAATAGCAGAAGCACTTAGACTTATATACCGCTTCACAGTGCTTTTACAGCCCTCTCTAAGCNCCTTCCCTTCCCTTCCCTTCCCTTCTCTTCTTTCCTCTCCTCTCCCCCTTCCCCTCCCATCCCCTTCTTCCAAGAACTTGCAGAAGTAAATTTTGGAACCGGTTGAAAAGGGTTCGTTTGGGTGGTCTCTGCAGGGAATTCATATAAGGCTCTCAGGGAACCCATTTTATTTTTGACGAAGCTCTCCCTTCCTGCCTCTTAACCAAGCTTTTTGTTTTCTCCCTACCAAGGATCATCCATGAAGATGGCTTTTCTGGAGAAGACGTGAAGCAGTACAAGCCTGTGATCTATAGCAACACTATCCAATCCTTGGCAGCTATTGTCCGTGCCATGGACACACTGGGCGTAGAATACGGGGATAAGGAAAGACGGGTGAGTTGCAATCCAGATAGCCACGAAGAAATGGTTTCGGTTCATAAAGTCTCACCTGCCTCATGGTCCTCGGGGATACATTTCTTAGAGTATTTTCATGGAGAAGGTTTGGCCTGTCCGGCTGAATTTTGTCCTGCAAGTGTATCTCACCCTGTGTGAAAACATGTCCACCAGCCTTTAGCTGAACCTAAATATATTTGTTTATTTATATTTCATACTAGCCGATAACCTGGTGTGGCCCAGATATTTATTTATAGGGGGAAAATATCCGGACCAAACGTAATTTCTAATGTTGGATTTTTTCCCCCTTACTAGAGGGAGCCCCCTTGTGGAGTACTGTGAAGCCGTTACCATGGCAACTCCACTGCGCTGTACAGTAGAAGCTATTGTACTGCAGTACATTAGAAGTCATTTAAAAGCACAACAGGCTGCATCTTAACACCCCCCAAGGGGTGTTAGGGGTCTCTTACCCCCACAATATTTATTTCCAGAGAGTAAGTCATCTGTATACCAAGTTTTGTTGAAATTGCTCGAGGCGTTCCAGAGTTATGTTAGAACATATACACACATCCATTTTTATATACTGTATATAATATAATAATATAATATAACATAATGTAATATAACAATGTAATGTTATATTATATTATATTAATTATGTTAAATTAAATTATATTATTATATGTTATATGTTATACATTGTTATGTTATGTTAGTTTGTAATTATATTATATTATTATATTATATTATATTATATTATATTATATTATATTATATTATATTATATTATATTAT